GGGGGGGCGTGTTCCCTCTCGCAAGGAGACTTTGTGTATGCAATCCCTTGCGTTTTGGGCAGGGGACAGTGTGACGAGCGTACGGGCTGGTGGAAACAAGCCCGGAGGGATGCAGACGGCGACACACCTGATGCGAATTTTGGCCAGTTCCTGCAAGAATGAGCTGTAATTTGCAGAATGCATGGCCAACTTAAGCCTGGAGGAGTGGGCATTTCATGGTAAACTGTACTTGCATGCTAGGTAAGGACAATAGGTAATGTTAGTCCTCCATGACCAAACCGAAATCCAATGAACGCAAGGGGTGGGCTAGGGACAGTCAGGCTGAGGAGGACAGTGCTAGATGATGCAGGAAATAAGATGGGCGCTATTTTAATTGCGGTAGCTCCTAACTCACACCGTATGAAGCTCATAGCATGCAGAGTAAGCAGTTTCTATACAGAAGAGGGGCCTGTACAACTGTGCATGCTTAAAGGGAGGGCCGGAGTTCAGATTTAAACATTATTATTGCACAATTACCCTCGGATTATCACATGTGTTTTGCAGAAGTCATGTCCAAGTATAGATTTCTTTTCATCAAAGAAGGGAACTACTATCATATGTAATTCCTTTAGGATTCCTATCCTGCATGCAAACTCACAGCAGCTCCATTTAAAACAATGGTTTGGATCATCTCTTTCTCTCTTACAGCTCAGCAATTCCAGCCTTTACGAGAGTGTCAAAAGTTCACCTGCCAGTCACAAACTGGATACCCCCAAGTCTTCATATTCCAACCAGTCAGCAGACCAGACACCTAAGCCAAACGGTAAATGAAACGAGGCATGACATGGCATCCATTGGGGCTGATCAGCTCAGTTTATGATTCATCAGAAAGGGCTCATGGTTGGGAGACATTTACCCACTGTCATTAAAACTGCACACCACTGGGCCAAAGTTTTTCTTGGGCTGATGTAGGAACAAAGCAAAAAGGCATAATCCATAGAGAGGCAACTTTGGTGTGTTGGCTTTTCCTACAATGCTATAGATAGACAAACATACTGTTTAGGTCAAACACAGGCAAGTGCTAATCACCATGAATCAGAGGAGGAAGTTTTCTGCTAGTCAAAAGATGGAACCCCCACCCCCAACTCTTTATGATATAACCGAACAGATTTTACACCAATGTTTGACATTTCAGATCACCCACGAGACTGCAATGATGTCTACAATATGGGGGAGAAGATGAGTGGAATCTATACCATCAGACCCACCAACGGCACAGAATTCAGAGTCTACTGTGAAATTACTCCAGGTTAGTCTCAGAAAGAGCAACAAGCCCCATTCTTGAAGAGACCTTTTCGCTAAATTAAAAAAAACTAGTGCTAAAAGCTTCTCCTAAATGATGTTGTGTTCACTTGCACTGGGCATTTACACAATCCAGAAAACCTGGCTAGTCAATTCCCTAGCACAGCCCCTGTCCCTTCATGGACGCTATAGCCTTCTCCTCTTCTGTGATGGCTTAAACTGTACATTTTAAAATTGCTGTTTACATTCTACCTGCTGCTTTCTGAAAACTCCAAGACTGGAGTTTTTCCTCTGCTACGCAAACTCCATATTAATGTCCATCGTTTTGGAATGGGAAGTGCAACAAGCTCAAATAGGTGGTCAGGGGTCCACAAACGTTTGGCCACACCATGTAGCTTGAGTTCTCTGGAGTGTCCAAAAGCTTAAAAAAACACAGTGCTCTGCCATGCAGATACTGACTTCTTCTGACCTTGGTCCCACATCCGCCACCCTTCTGTGCCCTGATTTTGGTCAGTGAGGCCGTATACCACACTAAGTGACCAACAGAAAAGCACAGGAAGCAGGAAGGGGGATGGCCAAATAATGTCCCCATTAAATTAAGTCATTATATGCATGATAGACACCCCAGATTTTTCTTCTTAGAGTTAGCTCACTGTGCATGGGTTGTCGTTTTATTGTACAGATTCACTTTAAGATAATTGCAAAACAGCATAACTTTGCTGTAATGTGCCCAACCCATTAATGGCAGCCATGACAGCAAGAAGCAACTCCCCTATCGTATATTTATTCTATATTATGAAGAATGCAATGGGGAAGGGGGCTCATCACTCTATCCGTGCCATTCAGTTCTGGGAATTTTAGCAAACATATCTTACCACCAGAATCCTTGGAGAGATACAGGAATGTATTAGTAGGGCAGCAACCAACTAATCGGTTGATATTGATAATAGTTGACAACTATTCTCACAATCAGTTGGTTGGATCCCCTAGCTCTCTCCTCCGCACTGGGAGGAGGGCACAGCGAGCAGTGGGCGGGTGCAATAGTCAGCCTGCTATTGCAATTTGAAATGGCCAATAGCAGGCTGGCTATTGCACCAGCCCACTACCTGCTGTATTTACATTTAGCTGCCGTCTGCGGAATCTTGCCACTGGCAGCCGTCATTCCCTGACTAAAGGTATGCAAGCGCCATGTGCTTACAATACAATAATAATTTTTTTTTAAATGATAAAAAGGTGGGAAACAAGTCATTTTCGGTTTCGGCCCAGCAACTTCTGCGTTGCAGTGCTATTCCTTTCAATGGCCCCCCAAACGCGCCTCCCACCCACAGTGTGATCGCCCGCACTGGAACGCACAGTACCGAGATGCCGTGCTTTCCAGTGCAGTGCGATTGCAAGAAATTGTGCAAAGTTTTATTCTGAAGCTAACTTTATGTTTGTAGTACTCCATTTGTGTATTTTATTTATAATTAAGGATGGTATTATAAAAACATTTTTTATCCGATCGAAAAAATTCTCGGTCAACTAATCGATTATGAAAATCATGATTAATTGCAGCCCTATTTATTAGTGCATCATAATATATACGTTTTGGGTGGAGATGATATTTGTTCGAAGAACAGACGGGCATCTACATATGCTTTAGGTTTTTGCATCCTTTTCTGTTTCACCCAAAGTCACTCCTATATTATATTATATCAATGGCAATTATTACCTTGCACCTGCAAGTGATACTACATGTGTAGAGGTTTTCAGCGGTAGGAGTCAGAAAGGTGTGATCACACCAAAGTAGAATACTTCTCTCCCACATGGTCCAGATGTACATGTATAATACAAACAAGCGCACTTTATTTGATCTAATTGCATATTAGAAGATCCATTATTGAACGTCATGCTTTACTGTTTTTAATGATAGTTAGTGAATTAATGGCTGTGTTCTTAATGATATTCGTCTAATAAACTAATATTTTTTGCAATTGAATTGCTTGTCCTGATCCCTTGTTAACCTCTTCGACTAGCTACTCTTGTTAGCTAGTTTAATTTTTCTATATATCACTCCTATATTATCCTTTATCCCTTTAAGATGTGGCATGGACGGTGATCCAGAGAAGAGCAGATGGCTCCGTGGATTTTAACCAGACTTGGGAAGATTACAGCAACGGTTTCGGTGACCTCGGCGGTGAGTTTAATTTCGTAATCAAATCCTTCCAGTACTGTCCTGCAAGCAAACCCTTTCATGTAGTCCCTGCTGAGTCACGCCAGCTACTCCCTGTGTTCAACCTAAAATACTTAAATGCACTGTACAGTCCTTTTATGTTTAAATTGTTATGTACAATTCCAAGAAACTGTTTTATATTTCCCTTTAATCAGGCTACACATGCATATATTTATATTTGCTACACGCAGACAGCAGGTGGGGGGAGTACCAAGCATTGACTTGCTCTAGCTTTTCTGGGAAATATAAAGAGCAGGGTAGATCAGACTACACACTCCTATATCACAGCAAAGATAATCCCCCTTAGAAAAGAGAGGACTGTTTGGCTTGGGCAGTCCTACAAAGGCTGCCCAAACACTCCTACTCCTACAAACACTCATGCAGGCAGTGCTGGTCTTTCTTATTAGAAAGCCCCACATTTAAAAAAAAACTGGGCAGGTAAAAAGACAATTGGAATACAAACGTGAATTGTCTTATCTGCCAAAGCAAGAATGTTCAGCCTGTCTTGCGAGACAGGTAACCCTGACAGAAAGCATAGCCAGATCCATGACATAGGCACCCTATGCAACTTGGCCCAAGACACACCCCCAGCTTGAGGACTGAACAACAAAGAAACAGCATGCTCCCAGCACTGTGTACTGCATTGAAGGACAGAGTCCTCAATCACTTTTTCTGCAGACTGTTCGAGATGAATGGAAAGTACAGAGGCTTCCCAATCATTCAGAAAATATTTACTATCATCCAGTTTCTGAATGGGTAGAAGCCTCTGTACAGAGTGCTACTCCCTGTTCAGAAACTCATGAATGAACAGGAAATGATGTAAAGCACTTCCCGTTCATTCATAACTGGAGACACATGTTACTATGTGTCCCCAGTTATTTACAAATACTGGAGTGATCAGCTGATAGCTCGGTGTTTGCTCTGCACAGAGGATCGGAACATATCACTGATATGTACCGATTCTCCGCCATTTATATCTGCCTGGACTTTAGCTTTAAATGTATATTGGTATAGGAAAATTGTACAATCTCAATCCTCAACTCCCCCCTATTGCATGAGAAATACCTGACCCCACCACACATTCTTATTACATCATGAAGTCAATGTATCCTTTCCATTTATCTAAAAAGTTAAACACATTTTTTAAAACCCATCGTGCAACCTCAGTTAGCCAATCAGGAAGGACATTGCTGGGTCAGACTGAAACGCCTTTGTTTGCCGTAGTATTAATCATTGCTCCGAGACCCGAAACCAACTCATACAAACAAATCAGGCGTGAATGACATACTTTACCAGAGGAACTTGACTGGGTCAAAACACACTTGTTCATTACACGGCACTCGCTGCACGTGATGAGTGAACAGGACCATTTTGCATGCAAGCCTTTATGAATATAAAAAGGAATTCTTGATATAAAGTGTATCCAAGCACCAAAACAGAAATGTTACATAATACAGCTTACCAGTCCTTAGATGTGGTGGCTGCATTAGTTTTATTTTTTTTCAGGCATTTTTACCTTCTATTTTCTTCTGCACTGTGCTAGGGTGACAACACTCACTCCTGTACTGTAGGAAGCCATAGTTGTAATCCTAAAGCAGGACTACATACACATCATCCTTTCTGCCCCTCCATTACATGAGGAGGGGGGGGCAGAGGAATTACTAGTTTACAGTAGATAACTTGGAATGAAGATAACATTGTTTGATATATCAGTTCAGCTCACTGGAAGCAACAAGGACACTGCATTTAGGGCCCATTCACACCAGACGCCGGCACATTGCCAAAGCGCTGATCCCAGCGCATCGCACTGTGTGCTTTTTTTTTGTTAGAAGTTTATTGACATGTCAAAAGTGACATTCCATTCAGTTCTATGGGCACAGCAGGGGGCGAGGCAGTTGTACCGCGTCACATCCCACTGCGTTAAAAAAAAGTAGGGCACACAACACCGCGTTACTACCGCGATGTGAATGCACACCAACTGTGACGAGGCAAACTGCCTTGCCTTGCGTTGGGGCTGTGCTGTAAACAATGACCGGCGCAGATCCAACGCAGATGGTGTAAATCGGCCCTTACAGCAGGATCAACAGGTATTTTCTGCATTTGCTAAAAATGTTCTTAGGCTCCATTCACATACAGCGTTTGCGTTTGACGTGCGGTTTTCCATGCGGACGCAAGTGCTATATGTGGAACTGCACGGATTCCGCTCGTTTGGGGCTATTATATAGCCGCGAACGAGCGGAATCCGCCGTATTACTGCGATTGCACTATTTGCAGGGGCCACGTGGTTTTGTATCGCACGGTCCCCGCAATAGTCTGAACAATGCACATTGAAGTGCATTGTTTTTTCTGTTTAGGGCTAGTTCACACCAAGCGCGGAGCAGGTGCAGACCGGATCAAAACTGTTCCGTGTGCATGGATCACATGTGCCAATACATACGTGCCAATGTGAATGAGCCCATATAGTTTTCCTTTCACACTAAGCTGCATTGCATGCATGTGAACTAGCCGCATGGGAAATAATAGGATTTCTACTTGCAATGCATCTCCATGCAGCAAAATGCATGAGCTGTGCCGCATGAATACAGCCAAGTGTAAATAGGCCCTAAGATATGCTTCACCAACTGCAAGTTACTGATTCTGCACCATTATAGTTCCCCACTGCGATGGCTTTTTTGGTGCCGATTAATCCAAGCAATTATTCAAAGTTATCGGAGGGTTTACAGGCAGCAATTCAACTGCGTGTAGCAAATGATCACACCGCACAGTCAAAAGCTTATCTCAAATGTAATCTGTTGCAAAAAGCCCCAGAAGCTTTCACACAAAAGGCTATTCATAAAACTATGTTTTCAGGTTTAGATAAGGAGTGGGTAAAAAATCCCTGTTAGTTTTCTTGTTTCCTTTTTAGGACTGAATTCCTTTCTCGAGATAAAACAGGAAGCGAGAGACGATCTTTGTAAAGGAAGCGAATTCCCATTAGATATGCAGTATGTCCTTCGGCCTTGCAGCATTGAGGGTCCCCGGTTCAAGTCCCAGACAGGACACCATCTGCTAGAACTCTCGAAAGCCATGCTGGAAGGTTAATTGGCTCCTGTCTAAATTGGCCCTTGCATGTATGCATGTGAGATAGGGACCTTAGATAGTAAGCTCCTTGAGGGCAGGGGCTGATGTGAATGTGCAACTATGTAAAGCGCTGTGTAAATTGTCAGCGTTATATAAATACCAGTAAATAATAATAATTTCTATTCCCGTTCCATTACCTCAAAATTCTGGGATTTTTCCTCAGTCACGGTGACAATGGTCCCCAGGATAAATGACCAGCTGAGTGACAGATAGGAATAAGAAAGCCAGAACTCCATATTGAGCCTCATTAAATTATTGGGGACTCAACAAGAAAGGTGACAGAGAAAAGTGCCAATAAACATGTTCCTCCACCTCCTGCGGACTGAACAAGAGAAATAATTGGATTCCCCTATCCACGCTAAACAGTGTGCATAGGGGGACCCCACTGTTGGCCATTGTATTCAGCAGCTGCGGGTGTATGGAGCCGATTGGATACAGGCACGATACAGCTGATAATTTTCCGCCCAACTCCTTTGACAAAAGTCAATTGAAAAATCAAACCGGGGAATGCCGGCAGGGGCACCAACGGCTCAAATTCCAGCAAGAATGAAATTTGCACTGTGGGGTAGCCATATGGAATCATGTGCTGAAAAAATATAGTTACATAGTTAGTCAGGTTGTAGGCCTCCATTGCTGAACTATCCTTCTGAAAATGCTATCTGCTTGGTTGTTCAATATATATACACTTGGCCAATGACCTGGAACAAGAATACAGGTCATTTACCCAGAACTACTAATATGCGAGGCAGCTAGTATTTTTGGAAGGAGGTCAGCAATGAAGATCATGTATTTCTGTCAGCAAAGGTTTCATTTAATGAGTCATTACCCTTGGATAAGCATGTAGCTAGGTGAAGACAAGAACTGGAAATCTGCAGACTTGGTTTGAGTTGGTGTCTCAGTCACTGAAGGTATTGAATCAGCATGTCATCCAGGCATATAGCATTTTCAGAAGGTCAACTTGGATTTCACTTATGGCAAGCTTACTTAAATAAAATAATTAAATAAATCTTGCCTTTCAATATAATTTAAGGTGGACCTCCCGCTGACTGGAATGTCATAATAGAAACAGGTCACCTGTCAGCTTCTAGATTGGACCAAGTGGCTCATAAATTCTACAGATGTTTATGCACCCATGGCATTTGTGACTAACAGGTCCTCTTTTAAACTTTGTTTTGCTTTTCTAGGAGAATTTTGGCTAGGGCTGAAGAATATCTACTCCCTGAGTCAGCAAGCAGATTACATTCTGCACATCGAGCTCCAGGACTGGAAGTACAACACTCGGTTTGTGGAGTACTTGTTTACGCTCTGGAACCAAGATACGAGTTACACAATTCAAGTCTCCCAGGTTCTTGGGAACATTCCCAGTGCTCTACCTGAATACACACCACTCCTATTCTCTACCAGCGATCACCACCCGCAGCACCTCAAATGTCCCTCCGAATCATCATCAGGTGAGGTTTCCAAATTCATTTAGGTCACAGAAACCTCCTCTTAGGGTGTACTCACACTCTGCATGGTTCAACCAAACCCTGCCTGAGTATTATTGTCCTCCCTCCCTCGCAGGTGTGTGCTTACACTGTGCTATGAGGAAGCATTCCTGGGCATGTTTACAGCATCTCCTATGCCAGCTAAATCACAGCGATCCATCCTTCCGTGCTCAATGATCATTGAGATTTCTGTACACAGGCACAGAACCGTACTGGACATCCAATTGAAGCATGCCCCAGACCACCCCTTGCAAGCAGTACATAAGCCCTCATTCACACCTCAACGTTTTGTAGCGCGTTCTACGCTCGACGAACGCTCTACAAAACGCTCAAAAATATAAATCCCATTGTATTCAATGGTCTCGTTCCCACCTTGGCGTATTTCCGCCCGTCCCTAACGCGCTACAAAACGGCCCACGCCTGAAAAGGTGCAGGTACTACTTTGGGCCGTTTTGTTGCGCGTTTCCATTGGGATACAGCCAAGTAGCCTTCGGAACCGCGCGACTTTTTTACCGCGAATCGCGGTAAAAAAAAAACGCGCGCCAGACGCGCATATGCAATACGCCTAGGTGTGAACGAGACCTTAACCATGCCCATGCAAAGTTCAGGGGACTCACGCTACACAAACTAGAGTAAGGGGGAGAACCATGCCAAGGCATGGTTAAAACACCTAGAGTGAGAACACCCTATGACCAACAAAGATTCCCAGCACCAGCAAAGCCCTCTCATAAATGGAGCTGCACAGACAAAGGCCAAAAATCCTTCATATAGGTGCACACTGCCCATTCCATCCACAGGCAGATTAACGATAGGGAACCACTTTTATTGGTCATCTACGACGTGGTGACCACATGACTTTGTTGGTAAATATCTGTGACTCAGAGAGAGTATTTCTTTCTGTGTGCACTCACAGTGCACATACAAAGAACAATGTTTCTTAAAAAATAGGAGCTACTGTGAATCCTTTGTATTGGGCAAAAAAAACCTTGTATTTTATGCAGGCTCCAGCTAGACCCAGAGGTCATTGATGCCCAAGCCAGAATGCAACAGTTATACATGACATTAACTCTTTTGACTAATTTAAATACAATAATCATTTTTATATATTTTTTTTTTATTAGATGTATAGGATTAGATTTGTACACTGTTCTAATACCCTACCCCGATTTTTATTATGGGCTGAAAAACTTTAAAAAAAGTTTTATTTATTCTCTTTTTACCTTTTTTTTTTTCTTTTTGCAGGGGGGTGGTGGAAAGCTACCTGCGGCGGAACCAATCTGAACGGAAAATACGTGAAACCGAGGTCTAGAGCGAGAGCGGACAAGAAGAGAGGCCATGGGTTGTTCTGGAAACCCGAGAAGGCCAGGATCTACTCCCTGAGGTCCACAAAGATGATGCTGTACCGTACTGACCTGGAGAACTTCAACTAGCACAGTCAAAACATTGCCTGAACTTTTTCTTTTGTAGCACAACTCGGGGACCGAGATGAACATACAAAACTCACAGATACGCACAGTTAAAACTGGACTGAGTCTGGTGGAATGAATTATGATCATCTGGTTACAATAACAAGCAGTCACGGCTGGTCCTGACACTAACCCGGGTAACAGTAGGCGAGTATCGGAGGGTACTGGTCAATAACACAGCGCGGATAAGCAGTAAGACTAATCTGCAATTCAACTTCAACCGGAAAGGAGGTAGAGAGTAAAAAGAATAATCAAAATAGAAAAACGTGTTCGTACACCTCTGTGTATTAGATTTTATACTCTAACTTTAGATAGAAGAAAACTGGAGAACTATGTACAGTTAAAACGACAATTCTGCTTTGCTCAGATTTTGGTGCAGATCGATTTTCTATTTACACAATTTGGAGAGGCACCATTATTGTAAGGTATTCTATTTTGCAAACTACATTTAACCTTAATATCTTTTGCCGGACAGAGAACATTCATATTATATTATATTCCCTTAGTCACCAATATATTAGCTGCGGATAAGCAGAGACAGACTGTCACATGCTCTCAAAATGTGTGTGGATGTAAATGTTCCACTGTCAGTTACAGATCACAGTAAACAGACAGAACAAAGCGGATAAGAACAAATGAAATATTTCCTGTATAAATTTTAAAGGAGAACTATGGGGTCAGGGCTTTTCCCCATAGTTCTCCTTAGGGTAACGGGAGGACACAAACTAGCGTCCTCCCGTCACCCTAGAGCTACAGCTCGCGGTATACTGAGACGCCACAGCCGGAGCGGATCCCGACATCGATGTCGAGATCCGCCCAGCTGCGTGAGTGACAGCTGGCTCTGCCTATCTAGAGGCAGAGCCAGCTGTACCCGCCCCCTCCCCCGTCCGTCAGCGCTGGCGGATCGGGGAGAGGGGAATCCAGCCCCTCCCCTGTCACGGCAGAGAGCCGTGACAGGATCGAGAGGTGAGCGAACGCCGGTATGTGTTCGCTCACCTCCCGATCTACTGAGCCGACCTGTGACAGTCTCATTGTCACAGGTCGGATAGAACTATGAGGTGAGTGAAAAGCACTTATCTCATAGTTCACCTTTAACAATAACAGGCTTGGCCAAATATGTAAAGATGGAATCACACGTCACAAAAACTTTATGCCCCAAGGTGGACTTCCAGCCAATACATTTTTGTAGTTATAGACAGAGTATGGAAGGGTTAGAGGGTCAGAGTCTGAAGAAAGTCTTCATTGAAAGATTTATCATCACTTCATGTTTCTTTCTCATGTTTCTCATCCAAAAGGCTATTCTAAATGCCTCTTTGATTACAAGTTTTTGATTGTTTGTGGTGAAGAGCGCCTCCCTATCATATACATAGAAGTAGAAATATACAGCCAGCGTATTTGGGGGGAATTTATGTTCTTCCTTCTGCAAGGCTCTTTGCAATTTGCATGGAGTCTGCCGTGGAATGGCTTTGGGAGACCATATCCGGGGGACTATGAATTGCTCCGGGGTGTCACTCCCGTACTCCTGTAATGCAAAATTCACGTCTTTCAAAGAGGGTGTTCACTGCAGACAGGACAAATGGCAACCCACGAAACATGTGGGCTGTATTGTTTTATGCCAATTACCAATGACGTCTGGAAACAGACTCTTCCATTTGTAGGATTCTTCACTCGTGACGCTCCTCACCGAACACACACAAAAGCCTCTAAGACCAAAGAACCAGCTTGTTGCTTGGTACCTCCATGAATCGAGTTACCAGGGACCCTCAAGAAGTCCCATCCACCATTCCTCTAAAAAGGCCTTCAAATCTGGACCCCCGAGTCCCTGTGGCTTAACCATGAAGTCTCTGAAAATTAAACTAAATCAGTGAACAACACGAAAATAAGCTTTTTTGGAAACATTCCTTTTATGGTGTGTGTTCTTAGGCAGAATGTTTACATTAATGTTTATTTTAAGTGCATAGGTCCATCTAGTGGTTCTAGGTTGTGCTGCACTTTGGACATTTTTTTTTTTACTGGTCCCGGTAACTTTTAAAACAAAGTCTAAAGCTAAGGACACATTGTCCTATTTTCATCTGTCAAATCCACAAATACTAATATCTGTGTAGTGTGTTGGTCTAACTGTTCGTGTATACTACAAATGGACTGTTTAGGAAGGGCCCCCCCTCAGATCTTGGTAGATATCGTTGACTGGACATATTGTAAGCTGAGTGTGTGACCAATTTGAAAAATGCTCTCATCAATAAGCCCAGTCTGCAGTCTCCCTTACCTACTTATACATTCAGCTTTTGCTGTGAACAAGCTGTTCCTGGCCATCACAGCAGAGCACACTTTGGAGATGGGAGACTTGCTCTACATTGGGCTAAATTAGCAACTTAATCACAGTGCAGCGGGATGGTAACATAGCTGTGTGAGGCTACAGACCATGCTGCTGGACATTGCACTTGTGTTCAGGAATGTTAACACAATTGTGAGACTGTAGACCATGCTGCCGGACATGGCACATGTGATAAGGAGTGTTAACACAACTGCAGACCATGCTAATAAAAATTGAACTTGTGTTCAATAATGGTATCACAGTTGTGGGAGACTGCAGACCATGCTGTTGGGCATGACACTTGTGTTCAGTAATGGTATCATGGTTGTGGGAGACTGCATACCATGTTGTTGGACATGGCACTTGTGTTCAGTAATGGTATCATGGTTGTGGGAGACTGCAGACCATGCTGTTGGGCATGGCACTTGCGTTCAGTAATGGTATCATGGTTGTGGGAGACTGCAGACCATGCTAATGGAAATGGAATGTGTGTTCAGTAATGGTATCATGGTTGTGGGAGACTGCAGACCATGCTAATGGAAATGGAATGTGTGTTCAGTAATGGTATCATGGTTGTGGGAGACTGCAGACCATGCTGTTGGGCATGGCACTTGCGTTCAGTAATGGTATCATGGTTGTGGGAGACTGCAGACCATGCTGTTGGGCATGGCACTTGCGTTCAGTAATGGTATCATGGTTGTGGGAGACTGCAGACCATGCTGTTGGGCATGGCACTTGCGTTCAGTAATGGTATCACAGATGTGTGAGACTGCAGACCATGCTAATGGAAATGGAATGTGTGTTCAGTAATGGTATCATGGTTGTCGGAGACTGCAGACCATGCTGTCAGAAATGGCCCTTGTGTTGAGGAGTGTAACACAGTTATGGGAGGCTGCAGACCATGCTGCTGGAAATGGCACTTGAGTTCAGGGATAGTAACCCACAATTTTGGCATTTTTGCAGAAGCTGAAGGGACAAGTACCATGCGTAATGCATAGTAAAAGTGCAGGATCCTTAAAGTACCAGCAGGCTATATGCAAAAAACAGATGCTTCCCCAGTCAGTATAGCATAGACATTGTAAATGCACCATTCGTAGTGGAAAGCCTTTCAAACTGCAAAGAAGAGGGATTGGATCTAAAAATAATGTATAAAGAAAAGGCTAAAAAAGGCACGTTGGGGCCCTTCTCCTGTATTTAGAGGGGCCTGTTAATATAGTTTAGAAGGCATTATATCATTCGGCAATTACATGTGCACGAAACCGCAACAAGGAGAAAAAGTCTTGGGTAGAATAGAAAAGGGTTAGAACCCATGTCAGGTTTTTTATAGCTAGCTTTGTTTTCCTTTACAACCAAGAAAATTCTCAGAAATTTAATTTCTCAGAACCCAGGGCTGCACAAGTCCCAGGAGCCAGATCACCAATGCTCCTTAAAGAAGAACTTCAGGAATTTTTTTTTATTAACCTTTGCAGTGTGGTACCACCCCACTGCAAGGGTTAAAGTGACATTAAAGGATAACTCCCCTCCACCCCCAAGTTACTGTAAGGACTTACCTTAAATGATGCCTCTTGATCCGATCTCCTTCTTCTTTCCTGTAGTTTTCAGCCGTCTCTCCAGCGCTGGTGCCGGTCTCCGATCCAGCGCTGACTCCTCTGTCCTCCTCTTCTCTCATGTCCCACGGTGTCTGTGCGGGTGCACGCTGCTCCATAGACTTGCCTTGTGTCCCTCCTTGTCTCCCGGCCAAAGATCTGAACTGCGCATGCGCCCGCCCCAAGATCCTTTGCGGCCGCCCCGAGACTCTTCAGATGTTCGGACGGGAGAGCAAGGTAAAGACACGCGTAAGTTTTAACCTGTTTGAAAAGTTTTTGCATATATTTACTGCTTGCTAGCCATAGATATATGCAAAACATGCTGAGGGTTTAATAACCCTTTAACTGCTCGTTTGTGTCTAGCTTTTAAAAAAAAAGTTATACTCACCTGAAGCTCCCAGCTGACTTCTTCTTAGACTGGTCCCTGGAATGTCTCTCCCCCTGCTCTGCAGCGGTCTAAGGTACCGTAAATCATCACATATATACACTGTGCACAGAGCTGAGGACACTGAGGAAGATTCCAATCTGCTGCTGAAGAGGGGACAGCCTGGAGGGAGCGCTGTGACAGCTGTTCGGCTCGGAGCTTCCAGTGAATACATCTTTGTTATTTTTGCCACAAATGAGTACTCCACTGGGCGTATCCTCACTGCAAGGGTTAATAAAGTTTTCCTGGAGATCTTCTTTCAAATTAATAGCTGGCGCCCAACTTTTTACGGTTTTCTCTGGTTGTTGTCAAATGAGCTGGCCCCCGAAAAAAAAACCCCCTGCTGATTCCTGGATTGGACAGATTGACTCCTGAGTTACATATTATTTGTCCACACCTGGTTTTAACGTTAGCAAAATACTGGAAATTAGGGATGCACAGATACTTTTCAGATACCAGTGCCGATACTTGGCATTTTCATGAGAACTACCGGGGTTGCAGCTGGGACCTGGCTCTGGCTCTCCACCACTGTCCTGAAATCATTAGTCTGTATTGTTTTAGAAAAACTGTCACATGACAATAAACTAAAATGTATCAGTACTCGTATCTGTGAGGACTTGGGCTAGTATCAGTACTCGTACTCGC